CTAAATAATGTTGTTTTTAAATGAAAAACAAATCTAAATAAAGTTATGGCATGACTGCTGAATTAAAAAAAAAAATAATAATAATAATATTTTGAGAACATTCTGTCTATACAAAATATTTTCAAATAAGAGAATATTATTTTAAGAGTTTTATTTTATAGTGCAATAGTATCATAGTGCTATAGTTTTATAGTACTATATTTTTTAATTGTTTTTATTATTTATTAAATTATATACTAATATATATATTAATATATATAATAATACAGTATATAGAAAACTAATTAACAATTAAATTGCATATATATAGTATATATCGAATATCTAAAGTTTATATATACGTATACATAGCAACTATAGTTATGATATAATACGTATACTGTATATCTAATATATTTACTACTATTTAGTACAAATATAATAAGTTATAGCTTTATACGTACATAGCTATAACTTACTATATATATTATTTAAATTACTAACACATTTCTAGTCTCTAATAACATCACGAATTAAGTTTAAATTATACTGATCTAACCTTAAATATCAGAAAACCTACTAATATTTAACGTTAACTGAAAAATCAATTTAAAAAATATGACAAACAAGTACTAACTAGCATTAACTAAAATTTCAATTATATGTAGCAATAGCGATACATATAGCAAAATTACTCCTTGCATACAAATAAACTATTTTTGTTTTTGAGAGCAGGTTATCTGATTATGCCCAGTACCTCTACAAATCTTATAATGTAACTTGCATTTTGTTTTTTTTGATGGCTCATCTGCACGTCTAATTCTATCAGTTCTCTTTAGTCGACTTTTTCCTTTACATTTATGAGGATTCATCAACTTACTTGAATTCAACCTTTTATTATCAATTTCAATTTTATCTTCACTACCTGAATCTACATTATTATCAGATAATACCTCTTAACAATCATTTAAATATTTATCGAGGATAGTAATAAAATTGTAATCGTGCCTTCAAACTGCTACTATTAATATAGCTTTTGCTTTATCTCAAGTCTCTCCATATAGCTTTTATTCATTAATTACTTTATAGTTTATATTATACACTTCCTTAACAAATGCATTAAGATAAGGAATTAGATTACTCCAACCTATCATTATTGGTTCTTCTACTTCAAATTTTTGTGTAACCAAAAATGGTTCCATAGAATTACTGGTTATATTATCATTATACTATTGGGATCGTATTAGCTAAATATGGAATATTGCAGTCTATGTATAAAGTATTATTTGAAAAAAATGCTAACAAATGATTCTATGATTGCAGTGGTCAAAACAAGAACATAAATAAGTCCTATCATCCAAAAGTACTACAAAATACTGTATTTCATTTGATATTATTCGTCGAACTCCCTATATTCTACAATCTTATCTTTGTCAATAAGATTAAGTATTAACTTGGTCATGATATTGGTAAAATTTGGATTTTCACTAAATAAGTCAGGATCATCTAAATTAACTTAAAAATTTATACAGTAATAATGATATCAT